TTTTTTTTGAAAAACATGCGAATCTTCTTGGCCTTCTTGACTTACATTTTCTCAAACAAAACCAAATTCCGGGGTTGGGCACCGTAATCGAAGGGGACAAGGACGTCATCGCTGCGCAAACGTGTGTCCTTTGGCCTCCAGCAGCATGGCTCCCGACAATGGCCCGCTTCGGAACTGGGCCGCGCAACTAGACTGAGAGGACGTGGACGGAAAAAACGCTCCTCCTGCTGACAGCTGTGTTGAGTTGGACCGCCCGGCGAGGCCGGGCTGACACCAGGACGAGACGGTGGCCTCGGCCGGTACGTGGGCGACGGGGGTGAATAGGCGCGTGCTCGCAGCTCCCAGTGGCCGCGAGTCGTTGCTCGATCAAGACCCCATCCACAGGCATTCTGTCTTTCCCTCCAGGTAGTTCATCCCGATGAGCTCGTCGCTCGGCGGCACGGCGGCCAGCCGCCACTTGTCCCGCACCTGCACCGAGCCGAACAGCATGTTGTTATTTCCCCGAATGGGAGGGGTTTTGGTCGGATTCAAGCGACAGAGCAGACTCACCTCCTCCACGGCACTGAAGACCCTCAACAGATTGCCGCCCGCCAGCTTCTTGACGTCGTCCTCCGTCCACATCGGGTCCGCTAGCAGGGTCGCCAGCAGGTCGGGGTACTTCGAAACGTCCTCCAGGCCCCGCGGAGTCCTGTGGAGCACGACGCGCGCGTCAGCAGGTTGCGGAATATGCAAAGACTACCTGCAGGTATGTGAAGGATTCCTTACTTGTTTATTCCGTCGTAACCCGCACCAATCCCGACGTGGTCTGTACCCGCCACCTTTCTGATGTGATTGATATGATCTGAAACACAGATTAAACAATGCGTTAGGTCAGGGCTAGACGGAGTGGAGGGAAAGTGGGGCGGAGTAACGTCAACACCCAGGACAGACTCCATTGCTCAGAGATTTTACCCTCCCCTCCTTTTCCCCATTGCTACCCCCAGCTGGAGGAACAGCAAAGGCGAGGGGTATGAACGCCAATGCGACGCCACTACCCCCTGGCCGGAGAGACCCCCCGTGACGCTAGGGGAAAGGGGGGTGGGGGCGGGGAGAGTGCTGTTTGTGCGCAACAAACGTGCGGGATAGGCAGGGTTACTACTCCTCTCCACTGTCCCTATTGAGAATACACGCGACACTGTCTTTGTCTTTATATTTTCGTGTTCTTTGAATCCTGTTTGAATCCGCATTTACAGCCTAACTAAAATGAACAGGAAACAACTTAGAAATCATTCTGAAGCAAAAGAAAAATCTAATGAATTTCAAAAGTAGCGACGACTCATGCTCAGACAAACTTACTTATGACGTCCTGCAGGTCTGCCGTGTGGTTGCAGGTGACGAAGTAAGTGTAGAAGTTGACCATGACGATGCCGCCGTTGTTCGCCTGCAGCAAAACACGCAAACGGGTTTTATTGACATGTGCCATACATTCTGGGCGGTGGACCCAGGCGATATGCGGACCGGACGAGAGTGTCACAACACGACCGTAACTCTCTGTCTCCCTGAGGTAGATATGGCCACAGAACGGCCGGAGGGGGCGGGGGCGACTACACAGCAGCACCATACTGTCACTTCAGGATACTAAAGCTGTAGTATAACAATGCCTTTACAGTGACGTGTCAGTAGCACTAAAATTTCGCGCAGTATTGGGGTAGTAGAAAGTTTGGTCGTGACCCCGAGAAGTGACATTGGTCCAACCTTCGTTTTATCAGTCCTCACAAGTCAGTACCGCAGCACTCGGCTGGAAAGAAAATGATAAAGATTCCCGACAAACTCGGTACTTAAAAGTTATTGAAAGAAATAGAACGTATTGGGATTCTCGTATCGCGAATGAAGATGATGTCGCATTTTGACATATTTGTCATATTTTAATTTGACTTGACGTCCATACAGTTCAATTTCAGGAAACATTGCGGCCGAGTATTATTTTTTTAACACAAAAACAGTTGTTTACATTTTGTGGCACTTGGGCACATTTGTCATACGCGTGGGATATGCGCGAGAGAGAGTGGTGAGTGAAATAGGAGGGGGGAGGGGGCAGAGGTGCCGACAACAGAGCGCAGGGGTGGACAGAGCTGTCCGCCCCTAATCATTCATTTCTCGTAAATAGCTCCTTCCTTTCGCCCAAAACGACAACACACGGGGAGAATTATGGCCGTATCCGGATTTAATCTGTCACCGGCACGGCAGGGCCCAGCCCGGGGCACGGCACTAGGGGGGTTGAATTATTAGCACCGGCAAAGTGTGCCCCAGTGTCGGCGCGGGGCGTGGCGCGGCCGAGAGAGGGGGAGCGGGGAGGAGCTGCGAGCTGCGGAGCGACTCGGATTGACGCGTGGCAGGGCGGCGCCCCGCCACCCCAGCTGTGGACGCGCACACCTGGCACACCTGGCTAGGGCCGACTGCTCCAGAAGCCAGCGCAGCGCCCCAGCGCCCCAAATGAGAAAACAGAAATATACGACTCAGCCCGTTGCGATGGTAAATCGAACGACACCCCCCCTCCCCTCTCTCACCCCACGCTACCGTCCAGCGGCCGAAATTCGTGTGTTCGTCGTTGTTTTAGAAATTATTCGCGTTTAAACCCTTACATGCTGATGTAAGCGGCAGTTTTCTTAAACCATTGATTCCTTAATAAGACTTTAACTCGAGGGGGCAACAACTCCGGGAATCATGTGTACACCTGCCTGGGAATCACTGGATAAAAATCAGTCAAAATCATCAGAAATCGCTTAAAATAAGCGGGAAACTAGTGGAATTCGTACGAATTAGTCAAAATAACGTAAAAATTAGGCGAAATAAGCGTTTCCTACTACTAGAAAACCTAAGGAATGAACATAAGAGGACGGGAATCACTGGGAATCAAGGTTTTCGGGAATCATGTGTACACATTTAAAGGTAGTTATTGCCCCCTCGCTTTAACTTCTGAATTTGCAGTATTTTTTAGGATATACTTCTCAGAAAAAAGATCGTCTTCACTGCGAATAACGTACGTGTTTGTTATAAGATGGACATATAGCAAAAGCTTGTTTGTGTGATATGTGCGAATACTTCGCTTAAACAAACAAAACTCAACGAACAAAGTTTGTGGTGGGTACGAAATCCAGCAAAAACACGCCTAATGTACTAATATCTCTGACAAACTCATTGTTCCGGTTGCAATCATTGACAATGTACTCACCACCTGCTGCAGGATCTCGTCGGGGACGTTGCGCGTCGAGTTGCAGATGGTGCGGGCCGAGGAGTGGCTGAACACGAGCGGCGCCTGCGTCACGTTGAGCGTGTCCTCCATGGTCCGCACGGAGGCGTGCGACAGGTCGATCATCATGCCCAGGCGGTTCATCTCCTTCACCACGAGCTGCGCGAAAAAGGTAAAACAAAGCGTCAAAAAAAAAAAAAAAACCGCCCATAGTGTCGTCCGCGCGCGCGCAGTTTTGTGCATCCGATCCGGCTATACCGCACGGTACCGTGGTTGGTCGCGCGGTACGGCGCACCTGCTGGGTGGCCGCCGCGGACACCTGAGCCCAGCCGCGGGCAGCCTGCCGCCTCCCGCGGGTCCGCGGGTCTCACATATTGCATACGGTATTGTTAGCATTCATGTATGCTGACATCCAGGCGCGCGCGTGAACACGCACACACACACACCTACACACACATACACACACACGCTAGCGTACGCGGAAACACACAGACAGACAGACACACACACACACACAGGCCCGCACATATTTCTGCGTGCTTTTTTCCGCTGCTCTCTCACGTGGGCGCGCGGGTGGGGTGCTGAAGGGGCGCACACTCACACACTCACAAGCGAGCACCCACCGGGGGAGAGGGGGGGGGAGGGGGATTAGAAAGCATTCCAGCGTGTGCGAGTGGGATCGCAGTAGTCGCCCTCTGCGCCCCGCCACGCCCCGCCACGCACGCCTACCTAACGAGAGGGATATGTGTGGGGGCCGCAACGCGCTCTACGCCCCGAGCGACACAATCATCCCTGTGCCTCCCCCCCCCGTCGCCCCACCTCAACTCCAGGCCCCG